TTAGAATAAGCGTTATACTCATCATTTTAAATCATCAGAAAAACCATAATCAACGCTTGTTTATTTGCTAAACGATCTTCGTACAAAAGTAATTTATTAGACACATGCGGCCAAGCGTTTCAATGAATCAATTTATTTCCATTGTCAATGTTGTTTACAGCGCTGGCTTTAAATCATGAAGTGATACCGTGATTTAATGTGAATGAAATGGTATACAAACATGTAAGCAGGAGTCCATAAACCTTATAATTATTATACTTTAGATTGAATACCACCTGGGGTTGAGGACGACCTTGCACTACTGCAGTTTAGATTCGAGGCCGAAGTAGGAAGATGTCAGTTAGAGTCTGACACTCTTGCCTCACCCAAGGTGGAAGTCATTAGATGAATTTTCCCCCTCAAAAAAAAGAGATAAAGGATCTTCCGAGCAGCAACATGTTTTACTAAATCTACAGTTTAACTTTAACAGCAAAGTGTTTATTTATACCAGAAGAAAGATTTTTAACTCGTTGAGTACCGTCATTATAGACACAATTAAAGAACAATAATTATAGGTGTGCGGACACCGGTGTCCTCGCGGTGTTTGACAGTTTAAAATTCATCTACCAAAAATAAACGATTTTGACTTTGATTATCATTCATGACATTCTTCAATAAAACTATCATTGACTTGACCGGTTAATATAAGTAGGTACACAGGTCCACATCAAGCTAATATAAACCAGTATAAGCTGACCCTCGGATGTGGTGAAAGATCATATAAAACGAGACCACGATATATTGGTTGTTTATAGCTCAATGTGTGTACAATGTATCGCATAAACAAACGCTCAGATTCAAGGTTGGTCAATTAATTGTTTTCTAGGGCTGTCACTATTTGTTTTGTGTTTTATTGATTGTAGCGTGATGAAAAGTAGTTATAGTAGATATACTTACTTTAACCTTCCCAGGAGTATGAAGAATAATTGTACTAAGTTTCGTTAAAATCCATCGAGTAGTTTCTATTTCTGGAACATATAGACAGACAGACAAAAATTTTACTGATTGCATTTTTGACATTATTATTGATCACTAATCACTTATTGATAGTTTTTTTGGAAATATACAAGGTGTAGTTTTGAAACCGTGGCATTTTTCGGGGGCGGCATGTCACAGAAGTCATAAAGGTTCAATGTAAGAGAAAATATCGGGCCAATAGTTAAAAATACGGCTATAATAAATCGTTTAAGTTCGACAGTATTTCAGGATAAGTGACAGCAATGTTTCTTATTGGAATTTTATGGAATTAGGAATAATATCAATTACGTGTTTGAGTTTGTGTGTGTTGAGCCGCGTTATAAAGCTAGTTACAAGACGGCGGCGTGTAGTTCGCACTTACGGATTTCGGTAATTTACAAAAAAATGAAAAATATTTACCTACGATTATTTTTATTAATTTGTACTCAGAATCGATAGCCGAGTTACCTCCTAGAAAATGAGGCTTTAAAACAACACCTTGTATTTCATGTACAGAATTGATCTCTCTACAGATTCATTATAAGTATAGATAGATTTTATTTATTATTTATTTTTAGGGTCCATTGGTAGACACAAGTATAAAATTTTATCTTTGGTTTTCAACTTCTATATCTTTTATACCTCAGATCTCTTCACATCATGATTGTGAGGGAACAGAGACTGAGTGTACGCACATACATACTTGTGAACTGAAATATCTCCCGCGTAGTCCAATTGAAACTGACCGCACCAAAACAAACATATTTTGAAAACAAAAATAGCTCTAATGGGTAAACAAATATAAGGTCGAAAACGCAATAGTAATACGATATCGTTCGTCCGGCAAAATATCCGTTTCCTATTTTATAATGGATTTTGATTGTTTGTTTTTGTTTAGGTACATAGGTAATATTTCTGAACTCTGATTCATAGAAAGGTTGAGTTCTGCTCATGACGTGGCTAGGGTATTGGAGTAAAATAACACATTTATGACTATGTTAATTTAAGCAATATAGAGGTAGTATTTTCTTTTTCCTTTTTTAAAAAACGTTGCCTTGCACTAGGATTTTCACCTGTGCCTTGGGCGCGTTTACAAACATACAAGTTCACATACACATGACACCCAGGCACGGAACAACGATTTGTGGATCACACAAAGAGTTGCTCCGTGCGGAAATCGAACTCGCTACACGTTCAGCTGCCAGCAGCCGGTTGCTCAACCACCGCACCAACCGTCCAACTATAAAGTCAAAGTCAAAATCATTTATTTCATTAGACCAGAATGGCACTTTTAAACGTCATCAAAAAGAAAAATTATTAAAAGTGAAGCTATTTGCTCATTCCAAGGTGTAGATTCCTATGGAGAAGAACGAGCAAGAAACTCCATAGGTTACTCTTTTTTAATCAGGTTCACAATACAATTTACTAGTTACATAGTTTTGTTTTGCTTTATAGTTTTGTTTAATTGTTGACACACTCCAAATGTAATTAAATTAGTAATCTCTCGGGGCTCCGACCCGAAGCAGGACCAGGTACGGCACCCCGTAAGACAGTACAGACTCTTATTGACGAAATACCACCATATTTAGTCACTCTAGTCGTAGTTTGTCACTTTATCTCGCCTCACCCTAGAAGGAAGGAGATATTGGATAATTTATACCTTTGAAAAAAAAACGTATCGAAATCCAAGACCTGTTACTCGCCAGTCGTACTATTGCAGACCACTCGACTAATAACGCAAGCCAATTAACTCGTCTTGTGTCTAAACATGGATCCACGCGAGACACATTGTATTTTCTATTGTCTCATATAGTCATATCGGTGCATTCAAGCGGTTAAAAAACACATACATACATAACATCACGCCTTTTATCCCCGAAAGGGTAGGCAGAGGTGCACATTACGGCATTTAATGCCACTGTAATGTAACACCCACTTTTCATTATTTATGTTATGAGTCCCATGTAATAGGGGGTGAGCCTATTGCCATATACCGGTTCCTGACTCCGTGCTACCACTGAGAAAAACCCAGTAATACTTTGCCCGACCCGAGAATCGAACCCGAGACCCCTTGCCCGGCAGTCGCACTTGCGACCACTCGGCCAATGAGGCAGTCGGCCGAGTAAAAATGTGTCATAAATAATGTTCACTAGTAACACAACCCTAAATTCATTACCATTAACTTCATCAACAAAAGGTGTAAAGGAAGTAACTGTATGTTTACATTAACTATTACAGCCAATTACAGCCTTGACCCTAGCTAGAGGACACACACAAACAAACATACGTGCATTGAGACACGTGAACTTGATTTATTTGTTTACTTATGTATTTGGGGGACATTGATTCGTTAACTGACTTCGAAAAGGCTCAATCTGATATAAAGTTCGATTGTCTTTACCCTTAACCGACGAGCGTGCATGAAAAGACTGATGACTGATGATGAAAGCGAAAGACGTGTGTAAGAATCGTAGCAATTGGGATGATGACAGGGTTTGAAAATTAAAAATATAATTAGTCCGGAAGTTAAGTAATGAAAAAATATTAGACACTTAGATATTTCTTTATTTTGTCGTCTAATAAAACAATACTTAGATAAAACTAATCAAAGTTTAGGAGTGGGGGCTTAAACGTCATTTCTACGTATAAAATGTACATAGAAGTGACGTCACGCGACATTTCAAATCAATAGGTATATCGTCGAAAATATTCGTTTGTGTAAGAAAATAAAAAATACTTGTCTAATGATTTAAAATAATCTACCAGACACATTAAATAAAAAATTAGGCATCTACTCTATTGGCATTCCATTGTCTCTGCCTACCCCCATGCGAGACAGGCGTGATGTTATGTAATTACTATGTATGTATTTATGTCTTTCATTTTTATGTTTCCATTTTATACTACCTTTTTTCAAGTGAGATTGCCAAGCACGGAGTAGATTTGGTTCGGGAAAAGTTCATATTACTCAGATTATTTCGATCTGAAGAAAATTTTACAGTATTAGCACGTATGACGAAAATAGCGCGCAAAATAAGCCGCGCGGCCCTCAAAGAGCCATCAGACCACCGCAGATAGGCCCAGTAGCCCGATGCGGAGTCGCGAAGGACTTAACAGGTTGCCGGGGCTCCGGCTCGAAGAGCAGGAGTAGGAACGGGGTGGTGTTTCGCCTCGCCCAAGGCGGGAGAAGTCATTAGATGATTTACACCCTCAAAATAAAAAAAAAACGGTCGGCTCCAATTACACGGAACTTGATATGACTTAACAGATTTACCATATAATTGGTGAAATGGGTCTATAATAAATTAGGTCACCTGTTCACGTTACGGGTGCTATAACTACATCTATAGCATCATTATAGGATAAGCCATTACTAATCTTAGATTAAAACAGTGAACAGAATATTTATGGCTAGAACTCCGTGCCAAAACTACGAAGCTTAATTGGACGTAATCGTTTAATTGATGGTAATCATGTAATCGGAGAGGTAGACACGGCTTCGCATCAAGTTATATAATTCCAGTTCATCATAGTCCTGTTTTATATAATCTTTCTTCATATTCGAAGCTCAGTATATACTGGTTTTCATCGCTTGATGTGCAACTGTCTTTGTGGAGATAATTATACCTACAACGTTACGTAGTACATAATCGTGGTATGATAATGACAATGATAAGTCAAGGTCATATTTGTAAACAAATTTTTGACGGACATACATTTATTTAATATAATTCATTTTCGTCACATCGCTCTAAGGTAAACCTGAACCTTTTAAGCTGCTATCTCCTACTTACCTGTAAAACGTGATGTTTGCAAATTCAAAGCAATTATTTAACTGAATGCTATAATACACATTTTTGAAACGTCAGAATTGAGTTGACTGTACTGTCAGTGAAGCTGGTTTCAACAGAGGACATCATCCGTCTAATAAAAATCATGAAAAAATTCCCTCCTTAAATAATTTACCTCCTATCCTCCACTAAACCACCTTCTCTTCATTCCAGGTGACAGAACTCTTCACACAAATGCGGGAGCCGTCTCCAGGCACAGCCAGCCCTCGAGGCTCCAACACTTCCCTTTCCAATGGCGCAGTCACCAAGAACATCGGCTTCCAACAGCAGAACAGCTCTGAACATCTTCCATGGAGCAGTCCTGCTATTTCTTTGCCTGGAAACTGTAACTCCAACTTGTAAGTATCAGAATCTTTTGTCGCGGAGAACCTAACGGGTTACCGGGGCTCCGGCTCGACGTGCATAAGAAGGAACGGGGTGGTTTTTAGTCAGTAAGAGTCTGACACTCCCTCCCGCCTCACCCAGGCGGGAGCAGTCATTCGATGATTTTTCCCCCTTAAAAATAAATATAGTATCGGGTGCGGTCGGCGCTCTAATTGATTGGTTCATCGGAGCCGGTGCACTGAGCCTCATACGTCAAAACCAAAGTCCGTCAGAGTAGAATACAGTGTATATGCATGTCTTTCCATAGATGACGTAAAGCTGACGAAGGGATTTCACAATAATTGTAAATCTGCATCTTTCACACTGCGAAATAACCTGTGCCTTTAGCTAAACGCCACTTTAGCGCTTGTCTACATAGAGAGTGGAAAACTAAATGTATGGGGATGACACTGACAAGTGTCAAAATTTACGTCAATCCCATATAATTTGGTTTTCTATTCTACATGTAGACAAGCGCTAAATGGCATTTGGCTACATCTGCAGCAAAGCAGCTGACTGCAGCAAAGTCTTAATATGCTTGTAAAAGAGGTCCAGCTGTGGACTGTCATTAAACTGTCACAGGTTTTAGATGTTAAAGTTCTTAATTTATCGGAGAGTGGCCTCTGCTGACTAAAGGCTAAAAAAGAAAACCTTCAAGAAAAGAGCGTACTCCTTTTTAAAAAGGCCGGCAACGCACCTGTGACTCTTCTAGTGTTGCGGGTGTCCATGGGCGACGCTGATCGCTTACCATCAGTGGAGCCGTCTGCTCATTTGCCTCCTATTCCATAAAAAAAGGCCTCTTTTCGCTTCAAATTTTATGAACGGCGCAAAATAATACATCTATCACATGATGAACTGTCTTGTAAAACGGTTATTTCCACGTTAGTTCAACATTCCATAAATTTCCCATACCTAAACTACATGTTATTGTCATTTTTTTACAGGACGAGTGAAAACCAAAATCCAATGGGTCGTACACTCAGCAATGCGTCAGCGCTCACCTCGCTCTGTGCTGACCTGTCGGCTTCCGACTCGCACTTCTTTGAGGTAATACATTAATTTATAACATCATGCCATTTTCCCAAAAAGGAAACCTTTACACAGTTCGCTGATGTTACTAATACAGAATGTACATACATACATACATAACTTCACGTCTGTCTCCCATGGGGGTAGGCAGAGACTAAGGAGCGCCAATTACTACGATTCTTACATACCTCTTTCGCTTCATTAACAGTCATCAATCTTTTCATGCATGCTCGTCGGTTAAGGGTACTTTTAATTTGGCCCTTCTTTAATATATCGCCAATCTGGTCACTATATGTCCGTCTAGGGCGCCCTCTACCGACGGCCCCATTCATATCCGCTCTGTATACTTCTTTCGTTACTATACTTTCATCCATTCTTTCTACATGTCCAAACCAGCGTAACATTCCCTTTTCAATCCTTGTCCCTACATCATCTTTCAATCCACACCTTTCTCTAATAACACTATTTTTCACTCGATCACTCAATTTTAGTCCACACATACTTCTTAGGGCTCTCATTTCCACCGCATTTATCCTGCTTTCATGCTTCTTCTGCCACACCCATGATTCACAGAATAATACAGAATGTTAAAATGAAAAACCCGAGAATATTTTAAACAATCCAGTTGCAGAGATGGAAGTCAAAATCTCATATTCTAACGTGTGAGCTCTATACTACCACGAACCTAGTGTTGATTCACAGTACGGTAACTGTATGTAGTAGCCGGCAATGCATCTGTGACTCCTCTGGTGTTGCGGGTGTCCATAGACGACATAATCCATTAGGTGATTGCCTCCTACTCATAAAAAAATGTAACACGAGAATTCAATTTTTTTATACCACGACGGTGGCAAAAAAGCACACATCCCACCTGATGGTAAGCGCTTGCAACACTTGGGGCATTACATGCGTCTTGCCGACCCTTAAGAAACCTATTCACTCCCCTCTTGAAGAACTCCATGTTGTAGCCCACTGGGAAAACCACGGCAGGGAGTTCATTCCACAATCGGAGGGTCTTTGGAAGGAAATTCCTCTGAAACCGAACTGTACGGGACCATGTACCGGTCAATCTTGCCACTACACATACACGTTTAAATATCAATGTTATCTTCATTTCTCATCTAATATTTCAGGTTGCATACATCGGCAAGGTGAGGATATCGCAGCGAAAGGTCCCAGAGTCCTTAATCGACGACGCACTAATTAAATTCGCTCAGCATGAAGCTGAAAAGGCGCTGAAACAGCGTCGGCACAGCTTACTATCTTCTACTGGGGTAAGTTATAATTTTAATTGTTTTTCTAGTAGTATTTATTGGTCAAACGTCGGACCATGAAATATAAAAAATAAGTATTACGGAAAACTACCTGTAGAATAATTTGGCCAAACCTCGGATTCCATAGACTGCAATTTCTACTGAATAATTCTTTTTTTATTCCTTAAAAATTACTTATCCGAGAAAAAATCGTAAAACGACCACATTTTTTCATTAAAACCTTAATAGATACCTAATATTATTAAGCTGTTTACATTTTTTTTGTGAATAATACTATACCTGTGACCATTACCTAAGATATATTTTGTTATGGGTTTGTGGCACCGACTTCTAACCTATCAGTGGGTGTGTAAGCTATATGTAACTGAACTACTTCAGTGTAACAACGATGAGAAAGTCTGAAAACAATATACATAAATCCAAATTACCAAAACAATTTCTCTTACAGACCTCAATATACAGCAGCAATGATTCAAAAGAAAACCTAGAACAAGATGATAACTCACCACCAAAGGATATATTTAAGAACCATAGGAAAATTTTAATACCAAGTACAACCCCTTTGGAACCTGACAAAGCTTGGGCGAGCGCCGAAACGTTGAACGCTAAACAAGACCCAAAGAAAATCGACGAAGAATTCGACATGTTTACTAAAGAACGCATTGAAAATAATACAAGAAAACCCACTCCGTTAGAACTAATGCTAAACGTACCGAAAAATAATTTAGACACCGTAAAAGAAGAAGACAAATCGGATATATTTTCCGTAATATCCGAAACAGCATCTTCTATTACGCAATTTTGCGAAAAGTCCAAATTGGAAGACTCGAAAATGGACGCGAAAAGTCCAGATTCGGTTGCAGTGAAACCAGATTTTAGTCAGAAGGGTAGAGACGATAGTCCAGCTCCTATGAATTTTCAGGAGATTAGTAGGAAGCCGGTTACAATTGAAAGAAAGACTTTGAATGAGAACAAGCCGTTTTTGAGAGATCGATCAGCTTCCATAGGGACGATAAATCAGAAGACACCTATAACGCAGTTGATTGGTGAACAGAATAGGACTATGCTGTTTCAGGTACGATTTTATTTCTATTTTATGTCAGTTCGTCGTGGTGGCTTGTAGGTTTAAGACGTTAATACTTCTCATGCATGAGGGCGCGGGTCCGAAACTTACCATCGGCAAGTAAATACCAATCTGACATTTTCGAGTTACATGTACCTTCTAAGATTATTTAGACACCACTGACAAATGGTGAAGGAAAACATCGTGAGGAAACTTGGGCTTATAATTTCTTATTATAAGTTTGAAATCGCCAACTCGCATTGAGCAAGCGTGGCGATTAATGGTCAAACCTTCTCCGTGTGAGAAGAGGCCTTTGGTCAGCAGTGGCTACTTATAAATTGTTTATGTACGTGAAAGTGTTAGTTTTTATTTTCATAAGAAGATTGTTTACATTACACCCAACTTTTTACTAGGTTTTTTTTTCATGGAAAAGATCAGAAGGATCACCTGATGGTAAGCAATCCGTACTGCCCATGGACACAAGCAATATCAGAGAAGTCACAATTGCTTTATAATCTCAAGTCTTTTAAGAATCTTTGGTCCCTTGTAATTTTGTACTATACCATACTCAGTAACCATAAACCGGACACAATTCCAGACTCTCTAATAACATAACATAACATCACGCCTTTTTATCCCCGAAGGGGTAGGCAGAGGTGCACATTACGGCACTTAATGCCACTGTACAATGTAACACCCACTTTTCACTATTTTATGTTACGAGTCCCATGTAATAGGGGGTGAGCCTATTGCCATATACCGGGCACATTTCCAGACTCCGTGCTCTCTAATATTATTAAAAGAAACCTTATAATACTTCATTCCCAGACACAGGAATCAAACCCCAAACCCTTCACCTAGTTACCAAACCTTAACTTATATTGTTTTTCCAGGTCGGCAGATCAGAACTCCGCCTAATAAGTCCGGATCGAAAACAGATATTGTTGCACAGAGCGTTCAAAGATGTCGCCTCGTGCGTTTTAGGGCGACTGAACAAGGAACATTTTGGTTTCGTTTGTAGAGAAACAAATGACACATATGCTTGCTATGTTTTTAAATGTGAGAGCGATTCTGTGGCTTTGGAGTTGATCAATGGTACGTGTATATGGCTTTTTGGTGTTTGAAAATTATGGTTTAGTGATGGAGAATTCTGTACTTGCCAACTAGTCAAATTCAATACTTTTTTCGAACTGTAAAAAACGACAGTTTTCTATGATTTTTTTTAGTAAGAGATTGTGTATTGTGACGTCACGTTTTTTTTTGCGTCAAACAGTATAGTACTTATTTCGTGAATATTTGCTGGCAAAATACCAAAATTAAGTTGATCATAAAATTTATTGATGAAAGTGTGATTATTTTTTAATATTTTATTGTATTGAACAGTCGAAATAATTTATTTTTGATTAAAGAAAGTCGAATCTTGCTTCGATCAACTTTCCGTAATTTTAATATGAAAATAATCAAACATGTCTTAGAAGATTAACATTATCTTTCAGCGATAAAACAAGCGTTCGTCGCCCACGCCGACCTTTTGAAGAAGACGCGAGAGAAGTCACCGAACATGACCTGTGAACATTGTCCCATGTTGTGGTACCATCGCCTGTGTCATGATATCGAGGGTAAGCAAAGTTTATGTTTTTTTTTTATGGATTAGGAGGCTACCGGGCAGACGGATCACCTGTACCACGGTAAGCGATCAGCGCCGCCCATGGACACCCGCAACACCAGAGGAGTCACAGGTGCATTGCCGGTCTTTTAAAAAGGAGTACATGTATTTTAAGACTAACCTCTGTGGGTAGCCTCGTTTTTTTTATAGATTAAACTGTCAAACACCAAGCGGTCACCAGTGACCGCAACCTATTGTTCTATAATTGTGTCTACAAAACCGGTACTCGACGAGTTAAGCCGGTAAACGAGCAGACGTATCACCTGATGATAAGCAATCGCCGTAGCCCATGGACACCTGGAACACCAGAGGTGTTATAAGTGTGTTACCAGTGTGCGGGAACCAAGACAGATATTCATGTCCTCGGGACGCGCCGGACTTCAGTGTTCCGGTGTATTCGTGGCTGTATTTACTGTAGACCCTGGTGCACAGGAGTTGCAGCGGTTTTGAGAGGCTGTGGCGGGCTTGTCTTATTAAAAAAAATGTGCGTTTCCAGGCGGTGAGATTAAGAATTCGAGGATTATTGGCGAATCGGGGATTAGGGAGATTTGGGGGGGAACATAACGCAAGCGGTTCAAATGGTTTCTGCTCAAATTGGAGTAACACTCTAAATTGAATTCCAGAATTCCATTCATATAGAATCATTATACTTATCATAATATTTTCAAACATTAATCTTCTTGAATATCACGTCCAGGTATGAACGACAAGAAGACGCACGCCTTCATCCTCCGGCGCATCGAACAGCTGCCTGAAGATGAACAGGATCTCATCATCACCAAGTACCAGGGTGGCACTAACCATATGTATGAGGTTAGTAAGTCATTGTCATCATTAAAACTGGACTATAGACTGATAATTAAATACTTAACCAGTAATACTTTATCCGGCCCGGTTAGCGAACCCGCGGCAGTCAGCAAAATTGTTTTTGGAGAAATATTGTCTAACTTTCTACAAAGAAACTTGAAATGGAGATCAGAGTTCACAGGGTTCAGGTTTACCCGTGCTACTATCCGTGCCGTACTATCTGCCAAATGTGAAATCCCTTATTCGGGTATACAACACCCACGAGAAGCGAAGCGGTGCTTAAAAAATACTATGCCATCACCAGACTAAAATTAAGAATAATAAGAAATAATTTATTCATAAACCAGTTATAATTGTACAATTTGAGCTGTGAAATTAATACCAGATTTCTCTTCATACATGTATATTTATTTATATAGTTTCATCTCATGCGAGCATTTAATCGGGATAAAAATGCTATCACCTAAGCCAACGTAACCATACCCTGCCTGTATATCAACAAAATCCATCAAAATCCGTTCAAAGGCCTTATTACAAGTTTGTTTTACGTTTAAACTATTCGAAACGAGTACGCGTTCGGCACTCTGATTGGCAAGCACCAATGAACCAACCAATCAGAGGCCTTAGAACAAGTTTGTTTTACGTTTAAAGTATTCGAAACTAGTACGCGTTCGGCACTCTGATTGGTTGCTTCATTGACGTCGGCCTATCAGAGGCCTTAGTACGAGTTTGATTTACGTTTAAAGTATTCGAAACGAGTATGCGTTCTGCGCTCTGATTGGCCGGCTCGAATGAAACAACCAATCAGAGCGCCGAACGCGTACTCGTTTCGAATACTTTAACCGTAAAACAAACTCGTACTAAGTCCTCAGTAGTGTCAGCGTGATTGACGAACGAAACATCCAAATAAAGAAACTTTCACATTAATAATATGAATGTGATTCAAGCAGTGTAATATATCATTACGCCGTCTTGTTACAGACGGCTGAGCACAACGCATTCCTAATGATGTTGCTCCGCGCACACTGCGAAGCGAAGCAGACGAGGCATGTTCACGACACTGCTGAAAATAGGTAAGCAGACATCTCGGTGAAGATGTTATTTGATCGTTTCTGGTTTTTCAGTTAATGGGGCCGTTCAAATATTACGTAAGCAGATTTTTTACAATTATTTACCCCCACCCCCCCACCCCCCTTGTCAGCAAAAGTAAGCAAAGATCTTACCCCCTCCCCCTTTGCTTACGTAAACATTTTAAATTATATCTTTTTTATATTGTAATTTTAATATTCTCCAAATACCATAATGTCTCGTTCTTTGTCGGTTTTTGCTTTTAATTTATAATTTCAATATAAGGGGTTGCCATTCGTGTAAAAAAGTAAATAACTACCGATGACGTAATCATCATCTAGACTCCCCTAACCCCCATATCATCCGAAATAAGCAAAACAGAGAAATGGTGCTTATATAATACCTACTTGAACGGCTTCTAATTTAAAGATTTTGGGGGTTGAATCAAGTGTTGAGCTTTCTTAAAAAAAATGAGGTTTTGACCTGTATCTATGTATGTTTATGTATGCGCCATTATCTCACGGTTAGCTGAACCGCTTTCATCATGGTTTTCAGAAAAGTGATTCTTACACTTACGTGAAGGTTAGTATACATACTGATGTCGTGGAGAACCTAACGGGTAACCGGGGCTCCGGCTCGACGTGCAGAAGTAGGAACGGGGTGGTTTTTAGTCAGTAAGAGTCTGACACTCCCTCCCGCCTCACCCAGGCGGGAGCAGTCATTCGATGATTTTCCCCCGTTAAAAAAAAGAAACGTTTTAATTTTTATATTTGAAAGAGCATTTATTGACTACTAGCTTTTACCCGCGGCTTCGCTCGCGTCACAAAAGGATAAAAAGAAACCTATGCGACATATACCAATACACACAGCGCCATCTATACCAATAATTTCGTTTCCCCTCGGGAATATCAAATGTTTCCGGGATAAAAAGTACTCTATTATTTAATCCAGACTTCTAACTTTACGTCTGCTAAAATTCAAAGCAATCGGTTTAGTAGTTACGGCGTGAAAGTGGAACAAACAAACAAACTCACTTTCCGATTTATAATATTAGTAAGGATAATTATTAACAGAATAAAATTATTAATAACTTAATTTCATATTGTAGAACTATTTCTTTCTTTCATACCTTCCAGATCAGAGTTCCTGAACCAGTACTTAGGTGGCAGCACTATCTTCTCCAAAGCCAGGCGGTCTATTTCAAGCAGTTTTGATCTTCTCAAACGGAAGGCCAGCAGAGATGATGGAACTCCACCTGTTATGAAGAAGGTAAAAATTAAAATGATATCGGATTTATTTTATATTATTTTCAGCCAAGATCGTCCCACTTCAGGGCACAGGCACTAAGTATGGTCTAGGTATGGTAGGGCACCTCCCTACCTAGACCTACCTACACAGACTCCGGCAAAGAATTCCACTCCTTAGCAGTACGCACAAGGAAGTTTGATAAATGGAATGCAATTAAAACAATTTTTTAATTTCTAGGAGACTTCACCGCTTCCCACTCCTGTGCCAATAGTATTGGACTCAGCATCAGAAACCAACCAGGACCTGCTGTCTCCAGAAGTGGTTAGAAGCAAGAGTTTGTCTCCAGCTGTTATAGATGGTAAGCTGAAATTCTTTTATTCTCTGTTTCCCTTTGGTCTTTGCCTGACTGCAAAAGCTATCTATATATATATATATCAGTGATTAATTTCAGCTGCTTAATCACCGATCTACCTCTATATATAAATCGCTCTATCGGATCTATATATAGATCGGTGGTTAATTTCAGCTGCTTCATCTAAATCGATTAAAAAATCTAAGTTAATAACCATAATATATTTGGAGCAAAGTATATATATATATTTAGTATTACTGGGTTTTAAAAAAAAATCTCAGTAGTAGCACGGAGTTTGGAATTGTGCCCGGTATATGGCAATAGGCTCACCCCCTATTACATGGGACTCAAACATAAATAGTGAAAAGTGGGTGTGTGTGTGTGTGGCATTAAGTGCCGTAATGTGCATCTCTGCCTACCTTTTCGTGGATAAAATGCGAAATGTTATGATGATGATGGCTAATATACGAATACGACACTATACGTTTGACAGAGACCAGGCAGCAGCGTCTCTGATAAATCATTTAAATTACAACCATGATAGCCTGTTGGGGATGGGTCTCTTCAATAAATTAGTGGACTGTATTTAAAAAGTGGTATATTAAAAGAATTGTAACGGTAAGCTTGTGTCCGAACGATCTCAAAGACAATAAAGGTGTGTCTAAATATCGAGTGGCAATTGAGCGCGGCTTGCAGCCCTGTAATTGGACAATTGCCACGCACGAACATGTAGCTTGGAGACCGTCTGCGGTGCAGTACGAGGTCGAAGTAGAGCTACAAGACACGGAGCCGCTTTCATTGTGGTTTGAATACGAAATAAAAAGTGCAGCGTGTCTCGGACTGTACTGCCGCGCACCTTGCACGCCGTGCTAGGACACACCTTTAGACGGTGGCCGTGCGCCGCCCGCGCCGCTCGTCCCCGCGCGCCGCGTCTCTTCCGGGAGCGTCCGGCTGCATTCACGCGCAGACATAGCCCTTCGGGGACAAAAGGCGTGATGTTATATTTTTCCATTTCCAGAAGTAGCTCCATCTCCCCGATCCAACATGACTCCCACTCCGGAGGAGAGCGAGGACACTGCAGGAGATGCCACGCCTGTCAACTCTCCTATGATGGACATGTGAGTAGCATCATACACTTCAAACGTTCACCTCATCCCCAATCTCCAAATCGTCAAATTCACTCGTAATACTGGCAACGTACTTGTAACTCCTCTGGTGTTGTGGGTGTAAAGCGTTTTATTGTTATATACAATAAAAAATACCAGATACTAGCCCTTGAGATATTTTATGGGATGGTACGGTAAGCGAGCAGATGGTGACCTGATGGTAAGCAATCGGCGCCTAGTTGATAAATGGGTGATTATATAGGTACGCCAAGTAAGTATTAGAAAGAAAAAAAAAGAAATTGAAAGTAAGTACTAATTGTAACTTGACAGCATGGTTAGCGCTGTGGCTGGGCAATCAGCTGCCGCGCAACGTGTCGCGTGTTCGATTCCCGCACAGAGGAACTTTTTGTGTGATCTGTGCATTACTCACGTAACTGTTTCGCGAAAGACTCGGACAGTTTCAAGTACCAGACCAGTAGCAGCGCGATAGTCGCCGCGTCGTGGGTCGCGGAATGCTATATAATTATGAGCCTCTAGTTTGGCTTGAAACTATAGTCAGAATTTTAATTAGATTTGACAATAGGTAGCTATTGTCAAATCTGGAATCTAATTAAAATTCATTATTTCACAAAATGACAGTAGTGTCATTTTGTGAAATAATGATACCACATATAATAGTGTAGTGATGAACACAAAAATCGATAAACAATCAGTGTGTGTGTTTTATAATAAATGTTACAGAAAGTGACAGGATAGCGATAGCGATGACGGCGACAAATTATAAAATAACTTATTACCATAATACATCTATCTGTTTTATTTGTCATGTTCCTTCATGATTACATTTTTTTATTTATTTCACACACAATTATAAAAGAAAGGGATTAGATCGTTAATTAATCGTCAAAACTAAATTATCGGTTCAGAAATATTTAATTTCCTGATATACTTAGTTTACGGGAGTAAAATTATAAACGAGAAGAATCGATCCAGAAATATTGCATTTCCATATCGAATAATTTCGCAACGTTACTATTTAGTACTTGTCATAACGTCGCAACACTGAAATTGTCAAATCTGGAATCGAATTAAAATTCCGAGTATAGTCGAGTCTCTGTGAGTAAACCGGAAACATAATATTTAATTGAGTATGTCTTACGAAAGATTTAATAAAAACATTAATAATAATTAATATTTCGCTAACTTTGCAGTTTTCTCAAAGTAAGTGACAATCGTCCAGCTCAAGTGGAAGCAGGCAGTGAGAATGAAGCTACTTGGAGACAAGCCATCTACGAGAAGATAGTACAACCAGAGGTGCAGGTTGAAGGTACATAATATGATCTTTACAAACAATTATAACTTCACGTCGTCTTTCACATGTCGCGGAGAACCTAACGGGTAACCGGGGCTCCGGCTCGACGTGCAGGAGAAGGAACGGGGTGGTTTTTAATCAGTAAGAGTCTGTCACTCCCTCCTGCCTCACCCAGGCGGGAGCAGTCATTCGATGATTTTCGATTTTAGTCGAGTAATACTATTGTTTAAAAAACAACGAAACGTTTTGACAATTTTTTACTTTGGCACCAGCCTCAAAAAATTATGAAATGTCTATAAAACTCTTTCTTACTTTTCAGGAGAGCTAACAGTTCTTAGGAAACCTTCAGGACCTAAAGGCAAAAGGACCAGGGAAGAACTGCGCCAGCTATGGAAGATGGCGATAGACCAGACTATACTACTGGTTAGGATGGAAAAGGAGAATGCTAGACTGAAAGGTAAGTTCAACAGAATTAATAAAGTTTTTGATAGTAGTTAATGTTATTATGCACGGTTGGTGCGGTGGGAGGACAGCCGGCTGCCGTGCGACGTGTAGCGGGTTCGATGCAACTCTTTATATGATACACAAATTGTTGTTTCTGGCCTGAGTGCGTATGTGAACTTCTATGTTTGCAAACGCACCGACGATACAGAAGAAAATTATAAATTAGATAGTGTGGGGAAACAAGAAACCGTATTTTAGATGAAATAGAGGGCAAACCTGTACTGCAAGCTAAATAAATTAAGATATGCATACTTTACATTTGGAAGCCAAACTCAATTTGTTTATGGTATAAGCAGGCAAACGAGCAGACGGATCACCTGATGGTAAGCAATCGTCGCCGCCCATGGACACCTGGAACCGGTACCGCACTTGTACCGCCTCTGGTGGAATTAAGATTTTGAGGATTGTTAGGAATTCAGGGATTGGGGAAAGGGGGGGGGGATATTGGCCTTTCGGTTACCTCACTCATATGATGAAACACAACGTAAGCGTTGTTTCACGTCGTTCTACTGTGAGGCCATGGTATCACTCCGGTCGAGCCGGCCCAATTATGCCGAAGCATGGCTCTCCTACACTTAAAATTGGTTAATCAGAAAACCTTTTTTATCCCCTCGGCTATAAATCTTGCACTCTTCCTTTTAGAAAGCGAAGAATCATCAGCAGTTCGAAGAATAAAGCTGGAATATAATGAACTAAGTGTTTGTGATGGAGGGGTTAGCTTAATGTGGGACTCGCTACTGTCTCGAGACCCTTCGCAACCAATGGCTAAGGTCGACCGGCATATGTTGACCCAGGCTGTGATACAAGGTAAAATTTATGTATAATATAGTGTATTTGGTCTTATTAGACATAAATATTGAAATAAATCTAGTTTTTACAGTTCAAGTACAGTATTATTCTAATATTATAAGTTTATTATTATAATATTATAAGTTTTTTAAAATTTTGAAGTTGGCCAAGAATTGGACCTTGAGGAACGCTTTCTATATTTCAATATAAACAATTAAGATGTTATTGTTTCATACTGCTTTTAAGTATACATTATTTTAAGAGAAGTTTTAACATGTTTTATAGCAATTATTAACTATTTTTATCCAATTTAGATAGAAATAATTCAAGTCAATCTTATCAAAGGCCTCACTAACGTTCTAAAAACATACTATTTAATGACCTTAAGGTACTATATTCAGCCATGAAATATTGTTTTAACCATATTTTTATATCTTCAGGAGTGCCTCGCATGTCTCGTGGCGGAGTCTGGTACTTCCTGGCCGAGCAAGCATGTCTCCGCGGCGCCCCGCCAGACACCAAGGCGTGTCCACAGTACCACGCGCCATACTCCACGCTACTGGCCGGGCTCACCAAGCATCAACACGCCATACTTATCGATCTCGGTACTCACAACTTTATCCTATAGTATACAGAAACTACAGAGCGCCACCTACTAAGCTCCTTATATATATATGTATATTTAGCTTACATCACATTTATACATTTTTGTTTTATGGAATTACTCGGTAAACAAGCAGAAATATCACCTAATGTTTATCGAAAAAGCAGGTAAACGGGCGAATGGATCACCTGATGGTAAGCAATCGGTACCGCCCATAGACGCCCGAAATGTTGGGATTTAGGGATTGGGGAGATTGGTTGGGAATTGGGCCTCTGGTAACCTAAGTCACACGATGGAACACAACGCAAGCATTCACGTCGGTTTACTGCTGGGCCGTGGTATCACTAAGATCGAGCCGGCCTATTCACGCGGAAGCATGGCTCTCCCACACTTAAAACTACGCTACACTACTCGTTTGCCAGATAATCCAAAAAAAAAAATCCTTCACTGTTCGAGCTGTTCGACTGTGGAATGCATTGCCTCTCTCTGTAAGACGAGCACAGACACTCGCTACGTTTAAAGCTCTCGTGAGGAAACATTACCTCACCAAGGTGTAGTTACTTACTACTTCTTCTCCCTGCTGTCTCTTATCCGTCATATGTTTATACAGTGAAACCTGGTTAAGTGAAACATCAAGGGACCTGCAATGACGTTTCACTTATAGAAGTATTCCACTTACCTAGTGTGTCAGATATACAGGTATAAATAAATATCTGTCTCATTTACAGAGGGTTCATTAAAGGTGGACTTGGAATTACGTGTGGAATATGTGGGTAGAATAAGAATGAGTAAACAAACAATGTTGTCTCAGTTACAGAGGTTTATGCATATAAAATTTACTCGCTGTCTTAGTTATAGAGGTAACTATGATGATAAATCGAAAGAACAAATCCCAGTTATAGAGGTTTACCTCGTCCCACTAACAGAGGTAATTCAGTGCCAAAGTGTTGGGACCTCAGTATGAGTTCCAGTTATGTAGGTTTCTCCTTATCCAGGTCCCACTTAACCAAGTTTCACTGTATTTTATTTTTATTTATTTGCATTTATTGTAGAATCACCTCCAATAACATTCAGTGCTCCATTCACCCAAAGGTTTCCTGGTAAATATCGCTTTTAGTGATAAGGTCGCCTTTGTACCCTACTATTCTTGGATGTAACTCGACATTTATGTTTATTTTTTTATTTTTATTTAACACTTTATGTACGACTGTATACAATGGCGGACTTAATGCCGAATGGCATATGGAGAAGTGTTAAAGAAGGTTTTAAAAGAAGTTTGCATCTATTGAAAAAAAATATAAAAAACGAGGGTGATAAATGTATGTACATATAAAGGTATCCCAGTACATAAACTACATACCAATACTACATACTAATATGAAACATAAATATAATATGTAAATAATTATATTGCTTTAAGGTGTACAATAAAGATTATTCTTATCTTATCTTATTCTTATAAATGTTCACTATTTCTCATCCAGGCCGTACATTCCCGAAGCATTCGTACTTCGCATCAGCGCTGGGTCCAGGTCAGCTCGCTCTCTACAACATACTGAAGGCATACTCCTTGTTGGATCCTGACGTGGGATACTGCCAGGGACTGAGTTTTGTAGCTGGAGTATTACTGTTACATGTAAGCATAATTTATTATTTAAAAATGCAGAATCAATTAAAATAACATCACGCCTTTTATCCCCGAAGGGGTAGGTAGAGGTGTACATTATGCCACTGTACAATGTAACACCCACTTTTCATTATTTATGAGTCCCATGTAATAGGGGGTGAGACTATTGCCATATACCGGGCTCAATTCCAGACTCCGTGCTACTACTGAGGTTTTTACAAACCCAGTAATACATTGCCCGACCCGGGAATCGAACCGGAGACCCTTTGCCCGGCAGTCGCACTTGCGACCACTCGGTCAATGAGGCAGTTATATTAATAACTAATAGTCACTTGTTTTTTAACGTGAAATAACGTTTTTTCTTTCTTTATTTCTTTTCTTTCTAGAATTAAAAAAAAACCACTAGTACTTTGTCCGACCCGGGAATCGAACCCGAGACCCCTTGCTTAGCAGTCGCACTAGCGACCATTCGGCCAACGAGGCAATCCGTAAAAAATAGGGTCGGTAAGACGCATGTAATGCCCCGAGTGTTGCAAGCGTACATAGGCCACGGTAATCGCTTACCATCAGGTGGGACGTGTGCTTCTCGCCACCGTATCGTAGTATAAAAAAAAATCCAATTATAACACTATTTATTGCAGATGGAGGAAGCAGAGGCATTCGTGTTACTGCGCCACTTGATGTTCAGACGAGGGCTGAGGAAGCAGTATCTGCCAGATATGAGCGCCTTGCAAGTACAGGTAATAAGGTCGTTACTAAGAGTGTGGGAGAGCCATGCTTCGGCACGAATGGGCCGGCTCGACCGGAGTGATACCACGGCCGAGCAGAAAACCGACGTGAAAAAACGCTTGCGTTGTGTTTAGTCGTGTGAGTGAGGTTACCGGAGGCCCAATTACCCTCCCTTTCCCCAATCCCTGAATCCCAACGGCCCTCAAACTCCTAATCCCCAAAAAGCCGGTAACGCACTTGTAACGCCTCTGTTGTTCCAGGTGTCCATGGCCGATTGCTTACCATCAGGTGATCATGTGTGATAAAACAAATATCGAAAGAAGAATAAAACTGAGGCTAATTTAAAAAATATATATTATCATTAGACAAATTAACAAATGTTAGAGATCATTCTAGATGACGGTTTCTGTAAAATTAGGTGTGAAGAATTCAGTACGTAAATTTTACATAACATAATGTAATATCATGTCTTTTATCCCCGAAGGGATAGGTAGAGATGCGCATTACGTCACTTAATGCCACTGTACAATGTAATGTCGTGGTGGCCCGGAGGTTTAAGACGCCCGATTCTCATGCATGAGGGTGCGGGTTCAAAACCTACCAACAGCAAGTACCAATGTAACTTTGTCCGAGTTATATGTACTTTCTAAGATTATTTAGACACCACTGACAAACGGTGAAGAAAAACATCGTGAGGAAACCTGGGCTTATGATTTCTAAATATAAGTTTGTAATCACCAACCCGCATTGAGCAAGCGTGGTGGTTAATGCTCAAACCTTCTCCGTAAGAGAAGAGGCTTTGCTCAGCAGTGGGCATTTATAGGCTGTTGATGATGATGTATGTACAATGTAACACCTACTTTTCAATATTATGAGTCTATTGTCGGAATATTGAAACGCTACTCAATTTGAAGTCGTGCTTATGTATAGTTCTGTCTCTACAAATCCTTTGTAAAATGACAGAGATGGCACGATATTTGAGTATCACTTAAAATTGAGTAACGTTTCAGTATTCCGGCATAATAAGAGTCCCATGTAATAGGTGAGCCGTGTCCGAATGTAGGCCTTGTACATGGCTCACTTCGCACGGAGAGGTAGCGCCGAGTCGATGACCGGGCGCAGGAGGTGACGCGTCCATGGTCACGCCGAGGTATTTAACGCTCGGCGCCCACCGGACCTGCTCTCCCATGAGTGTCATGGGTGTCGGCTTCATGATCCCCACGGCGAGCGCTTGAGTCTTGGCCACGTTCACAGCCAGTCTCCACTTCCCCAGCCATTCAGGGAGTGCATCTAGGGCGCGCTGTAGTTTGACTACTGCGTGCCTCGGGTTCAGCGACGTCGTGTAGTAGGCGGCGTCGTCGGCGTACAGCGCTAGTTTGACGCCG